GTACTGATCTACTACTAACTACTAGGCCTAATTGTTATGAAAGTAGAATTACGTACCGTACCAGTTACAAGATGGCGAAGTGAGTGTTTTTGAAATGACGTAATATACTATATGACGTCACTTGAGAAACAAATCAAAGACGATAACAAGCGGAAGAATTTGTTTTGCAACAAGGCTACGTGTTATCGTTGTGTTTGTTGCGTATCATAAAGTGAAGGGTGTTAAACTATTACAGAGTCACAGAGAGTATAATTATATTATGATTGTAACTTAGTGTGACCAAGTAAACTGGAATGCGGGTGTGTGTATGAATGGATGAAAGTGAACACATGATGTACATAGGATACTTTGATATGCTTGGAATTAAAATTAAGATTTTAAGTTAAGGTAAATTTATCAGACGGGCCAATAACACCATTTAGCTAAATATTCTTGAATTACATTACATGAATTGGCGCGTCACTACTGGGGCTGAAACATAAGAGACCAAGGTCAAGATTTTCCAAGTGATCTTAGATACGATTAATCTTAACAACTTACGTTCAAAGATAAGATATCTCAAGTTAAAGATCAGATACATTTTCGAAACTGTCTTAAATATGTCGCAGGTCGTATAAAGTTACGATTCCTATCAGAGCACTCATTTGTGTTAGAGATTGAAAAAGCGTGGTGTTTTCCAGTGATGTCACGGGTATGTCCCAGACAATAACAACAACACGGAGTGACAGTCCGTTCAATGCTACATATGTCCAATATGTAGACGTTTTGTTCTTATGATAAATGATACCATGACTACCGAACACAAATAGCATTCGTGTGCCATGCAAAGTGAGTGAGTGAGTATGGTTTTACGACGCTTTTGGCAATATTCCAGCAATATCGGGGCGGTCGGGTAGACTAGTGGTTAAAGCGTTCGCTCGTCACGCCGAAGACCCGGGTTTGATTCCCGACATGGGCACAATGTGTGAAGCCCATTTCTGGTGTCCCCCCGCCGTGATATTGCTGGAATATTGCTAAAAGCGGCGTAAAACCATACTCACTCGCTCACTCCAGCAATAACACTGCGTCTTAGCTGGAGCTAAAAATGATACACTCATTTTAATAAAAAATGGGGCGCCTCAACTGACACTGACACATTAAAAGGCCAATTCATTTCAATAACCATAAAATTGAAAACGATAATGTCTGTAACTGCATCGTCTAAGAGATCTAGACGGATCCCAACTTGAGCTAAAACATTAAAAGTATAACTCATTTTAATAGGAGGTGGCGCGTCTTAAATGGAACTCGTTATTGTAGGAAGTGGGATGTCACAACTGAAACTAAAACATACGAGACGAACTGATCATTATAGAGTTTCACGCATCTGAGCTGGGACCAAAACATTAAAAGACGCTCTCATTATGATTCATCCATTCAAATTATTTCATGGTATAATCGGCCGTAGCAAGTACTATCAGCGACAGTGACTGCATCCCGTCATCAACATCAGCACAACGTCCGACTCGCCAACAGCTTTCAACCTCCACCACTAAAGTCTCCATCTAAAGCCTCCGACCCTACCACAATCCAACAAAGTCCTGCCCCCATTCTTCTTCAAATACATAATAGAGACAATGCCCTTACCACATTCAAAAGAAATCTCTGCTAAAAGCAGAGTCGATTGTACGATTCCGACTATGAATCACTCCAGAATAGTTCGCGGTGTTCGCGAAAAGGTGAGCGTATCCTGCACCACCGGTGGCACACGTCACAAACACATGTAAAGGCAAGTTCATTGTTCACCTGAAACAACACGGGAATATACCCCATGCAGCCACCATACCCGCCGCCATTGCTGGCGCCGGTCGACCACCGACGTCCATTCAGTTGGGATCACAAAGTGAAAGTCCATTCTTAAGTAATCCCTAAAGGTAACCCCGAGGGCAAGAACTGGAACTTCCATCAACACATTACTAGTACTTATATTATCTGACCTATAATCTACCCCCAACAACTCTAAAACTCTTAAACTTAGCAAGAACATTAATATAAAATAGCATCTTATTTCAAAATTTCAAAATTTATATTCCAAATTGTAAATCTATTTGGACATAAATCTCTTCACACTGAAAGTATTACTAAATGGCATATTTTTTTCTAACTCGACCCATTTAGACAAAATAAGTTCAAGAATTCACAGATCTAAACTCTGCAACTAAACACCAAAGTGATCAATGTACAAACTGCAAAACAACCGATGACCTTGACAACTGATCTTAAAATCACGATCAGTAACAAACTTCTGTTCGAGCTCTATACATCAAAATATAAAAAACAAGCTTTACTCCTCAGGCAATTTAATGCATCGACAGTATTCTCAGGAATGTCAAATTTCATTATAATATACAGCAAATATTTTAGAATAATCTTGGACAAAACAAAATTCCAAACAAGCCAATTGACATATATATTGAATCTAAATTCGGTTTTTTAAATCTTTGTATGCAGGGGTTTAGCAAAGACTCACCTTGTGAAGATTTGTTGATAAAAATTCCGAAGGGAAAAGTAACATCTAACCTCACCCCTCCCTATTTAGACACTTGTACTAAGTTTGCGGTTGCTTACAGCGGACCAAACAACTACCCTCGTCCGGGAGTAAGACTGCTGAATCGACGGAGCTAAACTCGATTTTATTGCAATTAATACTAAGTTTTATTGATATTAAACCAACCGTTTGCAGGTTTCACAAAGAAAACAGCATGTATTGATATTACTACACCTTTCATAGCGGAGCTGGACAAGATAGAGCTGCAGTGAATGGTTAAAACGGTAATTTCGCAGCAAATGCTCTGTATGTGTGCATATAGAGACTATCACCCGAGTGTCTTTTGATATCAATTATATCAACACGAGTTAATGAAAGTGGAAAAATTCCGAGGTTTTGCCGAGGATTTTGGCCACTTTTATCAACGAGTGTTGATATATTTGATATCAAAAGACACGAGGGTGAGATTTTATTTATCATCCAACATCATTCTTTCAACTTTTTCAATTTGTAGACAGTAATTAGCAGTGTCTTCAGTGTAAAAAGTACTGCAAACAGCTTCAGTAGCAGAGCCATTAGTGATGTCATTTGATTGTGACGTCATGGTAACCAGTGACGTCACAATGGTCTGCAAAGCATTGTGATGTAATTTCATTGCAGCGATATCTACAGTGTAGATATCGCCTGATCTCACCCAAGCGATATCTCCTGTGAGAGCCAGTTTTGGATGATAAATGTTGTTGGCCAATGTGTGGAGGCGTTGGACAAAATTCTCCTTGTGAAAATTTATTGTAAAAAGTTTCAGAGTGTGTATTGTGTGCACGCGCGGGTTCGAATCCCGACATGGTTACAATGTGTGAAGCCCATTTCTGGTGTCCCCCGCCGTGATATTGCTGGAATATTGCTAAAAGCGGCGTAAAAATCATACTCATTCATTCATTCATTCATTATCTAAAAAAACTAATTTAATAACACTGCATAATTGTGTTGAGGAAGCCGTTATGACGCCAACGAAACTGTTTTCTCTTGTTTACAAAGAAACCATGTTGAAACGTTCGCTTCTCTGACGAAAATCGGGGTCTTGTACCCAAATTGGGTAAAATGTGAGAAACACATCCTTGGTCTTCCCGTAATGCGGTTGAAATATAATTATAATTGTGTAATTGGTCAAGTTGAAAACACCAACGACATATGTGTAAGAACATTAACAGAATTTAGAATCAATATGTTTTATGTGCATGCTATATTCTTACATTAAATAATATGCTTTATTCATTGACGACATGGGACAATCTCCCCTACCCTCCTCCATACACACACACGAACGCACGCACGCACGCACGCACGCACGCAAACAACCACACAAACACACAGTGACAGAGAAACGCTCTTACCGGCCTGGTGCCCTGTTGCTGTTTTGTATCGAATATAACATCACATCATCTGCGAATCGTTACAGCCACAGCGATTATTCGTTTACATAATTATATGTTCATCAACAGATTGTTTAATTACATATTGCTGCACTTACCATGTCGTTTTGTTCAACGTCCTCTCCAAGGTGAAAACATACGGCAGGGCAGGAAATCAAGCTGAAAAAATGTTTCTTCGTGATAGTCTTCATAAAAGCAAATGACATACCAAAGTTTAAAACGCAGCGTTCAAAGAAACGCGTGAATAATATAAACATGAGAAATAGGGGTCTAAGCCCATTGTAATCTCGATTTCAAATGAATTCTAAACAGCTTGTTGAAATTAATTTAACATGCACCGGTGCATTTCATAAAGTAAGCGTCGTCTGCTTCGACCAATAGTCTCGATTGCGCGCAGGAAAAACTCGTGCAACGGAAGTGTTTCCCGATTGGCTAAACTCGTAACCATGACATCACGTGACTATTCTGGTGAGCACCTGTATGAAATATACAACACTTCTAACCTGATTTGACATTTGTTTATACAAATAATCTTAACCGACAAATACATTGGCGGTGGGGTTTGTCTAGCGAGGTGAAAGCGTTGACTCGTCACACCAAATCACCACATGGGTACACTATGTAGAACTGATTTTGATCGTCACGCCGAATGTCCGGGTTCGATTCCCCAAATGGGTACAACCCGTGAATGTGCCGTAAAAGGCGACTGTGCTTGTCGTAAGAGGCGAGCGACTAACGGGGTCGGGTGGTCAGGCTTGCTGACTTGGTTGGCGCATGTCATCGATCCCAATGTGCGTTTATCGATGCTCATGATGTCAGTCACTGGATTGTCTGGTCCAGACTCGACTACTTACAGGCCGCGGTCATATAGCTGTAATATTGCTGAGAGCGGCGTTAAACAAGAAACAAACAAACAAACAAAACTAAAAAGAAGTGAGGATCGAACTTGTATACTCTCAAGCAGCGATTGACTGATGTATACCAAGTTCACGAGGCATGTAGAGTGACTTCCCTTTGATAAGGATACCGTCAAGCTCCTCCCCAGCGCGCGACACCTTCGTAAAACTAGTTCCGCGAACGGGCTATCGCTGTGAGGAGCGTGAGGATGAAGATCAACAACAAGACTTGACTCTTGCAAAAGCATAACGTGTTTCCATCTTTAGGCGTAGACATGGTAACTGAAAAGTAATTAATACATTTGTATGAAGATGGACGGATGAACGCAATTGCGAACGCATGTTCGGTCTTCTGTTTTCGTGCTATATTGATACCACCACAGGGCTTGTCACGTAAAGAATACCACCAATATAGGCCTACATGTGGTCACTACTGGTGTCAGAGTACAATACAAGAAAACTGTTACATCAACACGGCGGCAAACCCTTTGTTCATCAGATTAAATCTGCAATAAAATAATTCCCCCAAAATATTGAATCAACACTGACATGTTTAAAACATTGTGAAAATTTCTTTCCAGTTTCACATCAAAACCATTTTTTCACTACTATGTGATAACATCCTATACATACTGAATGTGCGTTCGATTATGAAAATTTGTCAACCGAAGTTACCATAAATATTTCTGGCAACCAGTTAACTTATGTCAACCTGAGTTAACCTGTGTTAATCTAGGATAACTGAAATGAACCGCATAAAATGCCACCATAGATATAATAATGGTTGCCAGGAGCTGTAGAAACACCGCAGCCATTGCTATAACCAGAGCTCCAGATAAGCTTTTGTTGTTGTGGGTATTTTACCCATTTTAAGATCATTGGGTATCAGTAATTCTATCTGGGTATTCAAATTTCTGTTACCCACTAGTTTTTACACATGTGGGTATTTAAGTTAAATATTTAAAAACACGATTCATCTAGTCCCTGCAAACTGGTGTCGTGTGGGTTCGAGAGCTTTATAGGACTCAAAAATACCACGATACTTCCACAAGAAAGTGTGATGGCAAATGATTATGATGTAAATGTCATAGTGGCAAGGTTGACGGAATGCCTGTTTATAATTTCAAAATAAGTTGCTGATTTGCTAATCGAATACGCAGGGTTACTTCACAATATTTTGATGATACGCACAAGTTTTATTTTGGTAGCGTATCTGTAATGTTCGTTGCGTATTTGATACGCTTGGATTTTATTTTACTGCATATTTCTGCATTTCTGATGCGTATTTTACGCAGATACGTAACTTATCTGGAGCTCTGTATAACACACTACTATAAGAGTTAAAAAGGGTTCTATTTCTTGACAAAGCTGAAAAGTTAAAAATAATGAGTAGAACATCAAACAACATGCAAAATCATCATCAAAGTTGCATTATTAATTCTAAAGTATTTATGTCAACAATCGAAGGTTAAATTTACAATGATGCCTTTCAGAATACCTATATACAATCTATACAAAGTTATTGGCACAGTCAAATTTATACACGGAATATTTCAGAAATCACCCTAAAAAAAATTGTGATAACTGGTCAATGGCCAGTATAGGTTTTTACAATCAGTTGCACTAAAATATCAATGCTAGTTTATAAGGCCAGGTGAAAAAAATCTTGTCTCATGCATTTTATCAAAACTGACTTGTCAAGACAACGAAGGGGATGGGGGGTGATTTTATCTTTTTTAATTCTTAGTAGGAGCTTTGCCAGTTTACAACTTATAGATTAACCAAAACTGATCAACTTTATTGTCCATTTAAACTTCTTTTGACCTTGTCCCCCGTGGCTCAAATTGTGAAGAGATTGGGCAAAACCATGTAGCAGCAAAATCATCCATTTAAATGTTGAAAAATTCAACACATCAATGGTTAACTTCCATGGAGAATGTATAAGATGAATTGAAAGATATTGTCCAGTTCCAAGTGCAGACATCCAACACAGCTGGCGATACAGTCACTTTGACATCCTCACAATAGCATTTGCCGTAGTGTCATTATGATCATGATGATTATGCAAGTCAATTGATTGTGTGTCCTCACACCCCGACGATGTGAACTGTTTCTCATATCTCACAACCCGTGAAGATTCCGGGGTAGAATAGGTCTTCAGCAACCCATGCTTGCCGTAAAAGGCGACTATGCTTGTCGTAAAAGGCGACTAACGGGATCGGGTGGTCAGGCTCGCTGACTTGGTTGATACCTGTCATCCATCCCAATTGCATAGATTGATGATCATGATATCAATCACTGGATTGTCTGGTCCAGACTCGATTATTTACAGAACGCCGTCATATAGCTTGAATATTGCTGAGTGCGTCGTTAAACAACAAACCAACCAAATCATATCTCACACCCATTCTTGATTGTATTCAGACTGCTGGCGGGGCAGTGGGGTAGCCTAGTGGTAAAGTGTTCGCTCGTCACCCAGAAGACCTGGGTTCGTTTCCTCACATGGATACATGTGTGAAGCCCATTTCTGGTGTCCCCCACCGTGTTATTGCTGGAATATTGCTAAAAGCGATGTAAAACAATACGCACTTGCTAGCTGCAAGATTGCTGACTGGGTCATAAAACAACACACAAAAGCAAACAACAAGTGGTTGCTCTAATGTGTGAACAGTTACTTACAGGCTGTCGTCATTTAGTCGGAAAACTGTGGTATAAATAACATGTTTTGTTTGTTTGTTGTTTAACACTGCTCTCAGCACTATTCCAACAGTGTCAAGTCTGTACCAGACAATACAGTGATAGACATCATGAGCATCGATCTACATAAATGGAATACAGGCATAAACTCAGCAGTAGAAACTAACAGTTTCTCTTTACTAGTCCTTATAATGATAGCATATAGCAAAACCTTTAAAAATGGCAAAATTATACTAGTCCTTAGGATACTTTTACTATTGGACTGTTTGGCAAGGACTATAGGACTAGTGCCAACTTCTAACCCTGCATAAACCATGTCAGCGAGTCTGACCACTCGATCTTATTTGTTGCCTCTTACAACAAGCATGGGTTGCTGAAAGCCAGTTCTAACCCGGATTTTCCCGCGAAAATATCTATAACCATATATAAACTGATTTTGTTTTTGCATTACAGTTGTAACCTGTTTTCATGTATGGTGTTGATCCACATGAAGAAGATGTATGAAGAAAAAACGTCAGATCTTTGAAGGTCAAAGCTGTCTGAATCTTTGTCATGGAAATAAAAAGTCAAACACAGATAAGTGACACTAACATCGACAAAAACACTGGATGTGAGAGCGAACTTCTCGAAACAAGTCATCCCCAGAAAAATGTGGAGGATGGGAATGGAGTTAAGTTGTATGAGTGTAGTGAGTGTGGAAAAGAATTCAACAGAACAGGAAACCTGAAGACCCACATGATGTATCACACTGGAGACAAGCCGTACGAGTGTGTTGAGTGTGGGAAAGCATTTACTCAATCGAGTAACTTGCAGAAACATATGCGACTTCACAGTGGAGTCAAGCCTCATCAGTGTATCGAGTGTGGGAAAGCATTTACACAATTAGGTCACCTGCAGACACACATGAAGTGTCACAGTGGGATCAAGCCTTTTGAGTGTGGTGAATGTGGGAAAACATTCACACGATTAGGGAATCTTCAGACACACATGAGGTGCCATAGTGGAGTCAAGCCTTATGAATGTAGTGAGTGTGGGAAAGCGTTTACTATATCAAGTAACCTGACCACTCACATGAAGCGACACAATGGCATCAAGCCGTTTGAGTGCAGTGAGTGTGGGAAAGCATTCACAACTTGTAATCAGCTTGAGCGACACATGCGGTTTCACAGTGGAGTCAAGCCGTACCAGTGTGGGGAATGTGGGAAAACATTTGCAGAATCGGGGAATCTGAAGACCCACATGAGAAGTCACAGTGGAGAGAAGCCTTATGAATGTACAGTGTGTGGCAAACAATTAGCACGATCAGGAAGTCTGAACGAACACATGAAGTCTCACAGTGGTGTGAGACCTTACGTGTGTCGTGAGTGTGGGAAAGCATTTACAACTGCAGGTAACTTGAAGACACACATGAGGTTTCACAACAGAGTCAGAAAGGTCAAGTCCTATGACTGCAGTGTGTGTGGTAAAGAGTTTAGAAATTCAGGTCTCCTCCAGAGACACAAAAGGTGTCACAGCAGAGCATCCCCCAAGGACGCAGTTTAAATTAAATGTCTGTCTAAATGTCATGCATTTAGAACCAACAAAGTTTGTATATCATTTTTATCGAAGGCTTGACCATATTGTACAGGTGGAGCATTCATCACATTTTGTCTGACTAAAGAGTGAGTGAGTGAGTTGGGATAAACGCTGCTTTTAACAGTATTCCAGTTACATCACGGCGTGTCAGCTAAATGTGGGAGGAAAGCCCGAAGTGATGCAGGCCTCAGACGTTTACCACTTCTGTGAAACCCACGAGTACAGGTATAGTGCTGTACAAACCCAGAAACATAATCGGAGTGAACCGGGATTCGAACCCACAATCATAGGTTTCTGTCATGCCCAAGGGACGCAACTCTGCACAGCGATTCATGGCGCCTTAGACGACTGGGCCACCCGCGCCCCCTCTGACCACGGACTTGTATAATATAGGTCCGTGCTCTGACTAAAGAGTAATCATATGTTTGGAAGATAGGATTAATGTATAAACTTATGCAGCTTGCAAATTACAAGGTGCTTCCCCAGTAATATTTTTGGGCAAATTTTGATACTACCTATAATCTGTGATAGGGAAACCTCTGGGTTGTGTATGAGTATGTAATCACGTTTGGGTGATTTTACACATGCTTTAATCACATTCATTGGGATGACACTCAGTGTATGAATTAGTTGCCAAAGTTTACCAGTCAGGAGGGATTGTTTACAACAACAAAAACGCCCAGGCATCTTAGGCACTGCAATTTGCTGTGCAGAGTTCCTTCCCTTGGGCATGCCAGATTACTATAATTGTGGGTTCAAATTCAGTTCAACCTGATAATGTTGCTGGGTTTGTCAGCACCATACCTATGCTTGTGGGTTTCACCAAAGTGGAAATCGTCTGAGACATGCACAATCTTCAGCGAGTCCTCCCACATTAATACTGTTACATTTACCCAACTCACTCACTTGCGAGAACAAAGATTTTTTTATCCCAATAAAGTATTGTGCCCAACCCCTTCTCTATCAGCCAAAGATTTGATTGACAAGACATGCTATTGTGAACAGTTTATGCTCTTGCCTAGACACTTTTTGCTTTCCAGTCAAACCCACAGGCTTTCTGTGTAAATCTTGTGGTGCTTGAAACAAAATTGTATAAAACGCATTGGCTGGACATATAAATCATGCTTAACGTGCATTTGTTGTAAAACAAGAGTTCTTATCTTAATACTGTTGCTGAATGCATTTGCACCATTTTGCCTTGTTATGAGATTCTATTAAAAAAAATCAAAGAAATGTGTATATAATTATTTTCAACAGTTTAGCTTTTTAGAAAAAATAATGTCATTGAAAAGTCAGGGGGCACGGGTGGCTCAGTCGTCTAAGGCGCCGCGATTCGCTGTGCAGAGTTGCGTCCCTTGGGTAGCCAGAGACCTATGATTGTGGGTTCGAATCCTGATTTGCCCCGATTATGTTTCTAGGTTTGTCAGCACCATACCAGTGCTCATGGGTTTCACCGAAGTGGTAAATGTCTGAGGCCTGCATCACTTCGGACTTTTTTCGCACATCAAGCTGACTGGAATACTGTTAAAAGCGGTGTTAAACCCAACCCACACACTCACTCATTGGAAAGTCACACATGGAATAATATGATGTTAGTCTAGTATTTGATGACAATTTGTATGACAATTTGTACATGTTGTATCATCATGTGTTGAGCACTAGCTTTTTGTTTGTCTTGTCAGCAATAGTGACACTATAATTGACTTTTATTCTAAGTCAGAAGACATCGGTTATAACATCCTATTGTGTTTTGCGTTGGACTCATTCCTTCCAACGGTAATACTTGCAAATATACTCAACTGAAAAACTTAGGGTATTTTTGGGGATGTATTTTTAAAGTGAAGACTTGAGCACAAAATTTCATAAAAATATCCCCCAAAACATCATAATACCTAATTTTTTGTGTTCAGTATACATGTAAATGGTGAAGCTTCAATGTTTTGCCTGAATTAGGAAAATGCTCAAAGTGCACTTTAAGAATAGATTTACAGAATTATAAATGTACCCGTTCCAACCTTACAGTTTCACATTATCCCCTAATTCCACACCTGTAGTCAATAGTAGATATAACAAGGAATGAAATAATTGACAATTTGATTCTGCAGAAAAAAATACTTTGCTAATATACATGTACTGAACTCCAAAAGAAACGTCACCATGGATAGATATATGAGAAGCATTGTTTGTCCAAACACTGTAAATATACTTTGAGACATATTAAAAATATGAAACTTGGCAAAACTGATCATCAAGGTTGAAATTAAAATGTCAAATGTTCTTAAAGTGAAACTCAACACTAGTCTCTGAGAAAATGGCATCACAAGTCAGTATCTCGTGTGTCCGTCATGTACACTGATGACTGACGTGCAAAAAGGCCATAGGCACTTGAGCCCAATTTCTGAGGAACGCCTGACGCAGTTCAGCTGCAGTTGTCGGCCTTGGTTGGACGTCATTCAGCCATCTTTGAATCTCGTCCCACAGGTGCTCAATGGGATTTAAATTGGGACTGAGGGCAGGCCACTGGTTCTGATGCCATTCTGGAAGTTTCTTGTTGCTCTTGCAGTTTGTGCACGGGCGTTATCATGCTGAAACTCGTGGTTGCGGCGACGTGCCAAATGAGGTATGGAGTGAGGTCTAAGACTTGATCAATGTACCGAGCTTCTGTGACACCATTGCCTCTCCCCAGACCAATGTTCTGGAAGACCATAGGGCCGACCCTCTGTGGAAGACCAATTCCATCCCACACCATGATGCTCGGACCACCCCACGAATCTCTCTCAACAACACAAGCATCCGAATAACGTTCTCCACAGCGTCTCCAGTCTCTCGCTCTCTGTTTCTCTCTCTCTGTCTCTCAATCTGTCTGTCTCTCTCTCTCTCTCTCTCTCTCTCTCTCTCTCTCTCTCTCTCTCTCTCTCTCTCCCATCTGCTGTTGAGATACAGTAACGGCTCTCGTCTCAGAAGAGGACTCTTCTCCACTGCTTGTGGCGCCAATGCTGGTGCTGTGTTGCCCACTGAAGACGGTCCCGGCGATGCCATGGTGTCAGAATGGGTCCTCGGTGTGGCCTGTGACAGTCGAGGTGTCTGCTCGTCAATTGTCGACGCACGGTGTCCGCACTAATTTGTCGCTGGTGTGTCCCCACGGTCTGTCGAGCAGTTTCCGCAGCAGTAACAAAGCGATCTTCAAGATGCTGTCGCACAATTTGACGATCCTGTCGTCGGGTGGTAACCCTTGGTCTTCCACCACGAGGTCGGTCATCTGTAGTGTTGTTGGTCTGGTACCGTTGCTGGAGCCTGTATATGGTCCTTACGTGGACTTGAAATGCATTGGCTACTTGCCGGGTGGTTTGTCCAGCTTGCAATCGTCCAAGGGCTTGGTGTCGCTGATTTCTTGTCAATCTTGGCATGTTTTAGCGAATGAATGTCATCCGATCTGGGTGGATTTTTATAGGGCAAGAAATGGGGGATCGCATGTTCATATCAATTTGCACGGAACTCACGTGCATCGGGTTACCATGGCCGTTGCCGTGATACGTTTGGGAGATCGGTTTTATTGTCATCTGCTTTGTTTTTTTATCATCAAATTTCATTTTCCGGACAAGGTAATGTTAAATTTTAGAAACTTGGACAAAAATGACCCAGATATTTAAATGACAACTTTTCATTTCTTTTGCGGTTCAGTTTATAATACAGTAAAACTGTCACAGCTTTTTCACCTTTACCAGCCAAAGGTTGCTGGGCAATGCTAAAGTTTCCAGTATGGATAATTACATTTCCTAAATAATTAGAATTATCCACAACCTCAAGTTCCTTACCATGAAATATTCATCTGCCTTTTAACCGACCGTTCGTACAAAAGAAACAAAACCCATTACCTTTGTTTTTGTTCTATTTACCAGCAGGTAAAACCCATTGCTGTAGCAAAATAAACAGTCCGGGGATATCTGTAGTCCTCCCGACCTTTCAGATCACAAAATCAAAGCATCCACAAACAATATGAGGAATCAATCTATATCCATATACTATCCTGCAGCTTCAGATAACCAACGGGAAAGCATTTGACCCGTGAAGATCCATGAAGATCCAGGGTAGAATAGGTCTTCAGCAACCCATGCTTGCCGTAACTGGCAACTATGCTTGTCGTAAAAGGCGACTAACGGGATCGGGTGGTCAGGCTCGCTGTCTTGGTTGAAGCATGTCATCATCGATCCCAATTGCGTGGATAGATGCTCATGATATCAATCACTGGATTGTCTGGTCCAGACTCGATTATTTACAGACCGCCGTCATATAGCTGGAATATTGCTGAGTGCGGCATAAAACAACAAACCAACCAAAATCCTGCAGCTTTAAGCTGTCGAATCTGTGACCACACAACTCTGGTTCATTATGGCTCGCTCATTGCAGGTGTGCACGGGAGCATTTCCAATAACAGTTGTGTCAGCTATCCACGCTAAGTATTCACAAAAGCCACACCACAGAAGTTTGCTTTGAAACATACGTAGTTAATTTTTTTAAAACACTATCTTTGCGAATTCCTATCTGTCGTGACGCCTGTCTGCACAAAGCTTTCGTGATATGTACTTGCCTCATAAGCCATTTTGCTCCTGCTAGTTCGACTTTCAACACTAGTCACTCACCCACTCTGAGCCAAGGGTGCTCCTACTCTCAGTCGTCTCGGTAAAAGGCGACTGTACTTGTCGTAAGAGGCGACTAACGGGATCAGGGGGTCAGGCTCGCTGACTTGGTTGATGCATGTCATCGTATCCCAATTACATCGATCAATGCTCATGATGTCAATCACTGGATTGTCTGGTCCACACTCGATTATTTACAGACCTTCGTCATACAGCTGTAATATTGCTGTATGCAGCGTTAAACAACAAACAACAACAACAGTTGCCTCGCTGGTGCAGCTTTCATTAGTGCAGCCGCGTAATCACCAGTTACTAAGTCAAACCATTCTAGATTTTAGTCCACATTAAGTACAGTTTGAATCCAAGAAGAAAAAAGCCATCTATATTTCAATACTTTCAAAGTTGAGTGTTGTTGCCCATTTAGCACGACGGTCTGTCATGATGCAAATAGGAAGCCACCCGTTTGAATAGTGAGTGAGTGAGTTGGGTTTAACGCCGCTTTTAACGGTATTCCAGTTATATCACGTTGTGTCAGCTTAATGTGGGAGGAAAGCCCGAAGTG